CTCCCGGACATTTGGCCTCCACCTGCGTCTTGATCTCCTCCAGGACATCGAATTGGCGCAGCGATACGTTTGGCGTTGCCTCCTTCTCGGCCGTGCTGTTCTTGGTCGAATCTAGTAGCACTGACGCATCGCAACCCTGTCAAGAAAGAAACAAGAACACGCGCAAAACATGTCAGACCAAAATATTTCGCCGATCGATCGATCGAAATACGAGTGCGCCTTGCCTGGACGAAGCAATCGTGGAAGAACATCCGGACGAGCGGCGCGGCGGAGGTCGGATCCTTCCTAATCTGCCGCGCCACGGCCGTGGCGGAGATCGGCTCCAGCGCGGGGCATCGCGAGCGATAGAAATTGGAATCCAGCTGCTGCTGATGGGACGCTGGCCAGATCGACGCTCCCAGCGCGATTACCAGCCAAATCTTCGCCAATGCCGCTCCGATCGATAGCATTTCTTGTGAAGAACAAGCGATGGTGGAGTTCCTATCTTTTGCTAGCAAAACGCCCACGCTTGAATACAAAGCTCTCCTCCCACCATAAAAGCCCCGGCCGGGCAACAAACACGCGCGCGCCAGGGATCGAACCCCCGACCACCTCTCTCTCTTTCGGATCGATTGAATGCTACACAACGAGCCAAAACGAATCACAATGAATGGATTTAAATGAAGACAGTCAAAAGTATATTAACCCAGCCTAGCGTGAGACAAGTATATTCTCCTCCTCCTCCAATCTTCCTGGGGCCATCTCTCCAAGTTTTTTAAAGCCTTTGCTAAAGTTTATAGCATTTGCCCAGCACTGCGATTCTTCCAACATAAACTTCTCAAGATCACATGGTCTCACCGGAAGATCTAGCACAAAGATTTGTCTCGTCAGTGTGATTCTCAGCAAGAAAAGCTTACCTCTCGCAATCGTATGGTTGGCCGCAATCATAGAACGAACAAGCGCTGTTGATATGTTATGAGGCCCTCCACCGGCCGTACAAGACCCACCGCCCTGACAGATCGTCCACTTTGTATACTTTTTTTTTTTTCTTTTTTGCCGATTAAACTGTAAAGTGTACACACAACCCAATTATTTCTCGAGGGACTAACCGAGACCGCTTGTTCCAGCACCGTAAGTCATGGGACGCTCCACTGCACGAATTCCTGCTCGCTTGTCCCATTGCTCGGGGGAGAGCGTCTCTCCCATGGCCTCTTGTCCTCTCCAGAGTATCTATGAAGAATGTCAGGCTTTAGTTGTCTGTGAGAATTTGTCTACCTTGTCCACGACGCCAAAATCCATGGCCTTCTTAGGACTCATGTAGTAAGGTCTTCGCATCACCTTTGCAACCTTCTCTACGGGCTGTAGCAAACTTAAGTCACAACAAAAACGAAGAGAAAAAGCCAAAGCTTACGTTTCCAGTGTGTTCAGCCAGTAGCTCCACAAGTGTATCCCTGTTATGAATCACCTAAAAGAAGGAAAAAGACGTAGAGGTTAACTCTTCTTCCTAAGATAAGATGGACGAACAAACCTCCTTGGCTCTTAAGTGCAAGTCAATCGCAGGCATTTGTCCCATTGAGGGCATACGAGGCTGCTGGATCATGGCTGAAGAACACGATTGTCAAAATTAAAGATCAATCGTAATGAGAAACACCTGTGGCATGAGGAAGCATGTAACGCTTTCCCTTTGTTCCCGCTGCAAGAAGCAAGCACGCTTGACCAATTGCGGCACCGACGCCAACTGTATGAATCTACAAAGAAAATGCAAGACACCTCTCATTAAGGAAGGAAGAAAAAAAGGCTTTTGAATTAAATTACCTCGTTTTTCACTAGCTGCATGGTGTCATGAATGGCAAAGCCCTCGGTTTCCATCCCAACCTGAAGAACACGATAAGGAAACGCTTGTTTCTCACCATTTAAAGCACAACGTACCGTCTCACCATCCGCCCTGGAAGTTCCTGTTGAGTTTATGTACATGTAAATTGGAAGTGTCGGATCTGAATATTGCAAGTATAGAAGCTCTGCTATTACAAGTTCCGTCACCGCTGGTACAAGCTAGCAAAGAAATCACAAACATTAAGAACAATACTTCGCGAACAAAAATTGAAGGCACATACTGGCATGCCAACGTAGACGATTCGACTGTTTAGTAGCAGCGAAGGCAAATCCGGAGGAGGCTTGCGAGGCCTGTGTTCATTGTATGATGTTTCGACCTGATGAGAAAAAAAAGAGAGATGAAAAAAAAAAGATTAGAAGAAAGTTTGGAGCGAGCAAAGTAGAAACTTACGTGAGCTGGAGCGGCCATCAAAACTGGATCACTGAAGTTCCGGACACTGCCTGGAGTAACCATGTTGCTCACAATGTCTAGCAAGGGCGGGGAAGCTTCATCTCTTTTCTCGTCCCTGGATTCCTGGAGCTGCGCTTCGCCAAGTGGAGTTCTAGCAGCTGCTGCTAAGGTCTCTACAAATGGATCGCCGGGTTGCGAGGCTCCAAATGCCATTGCCAAAACCACAGGCCTCTTCTTGCATGAAATCCTAAAATGCGGCATCCTAGAGTGGAAGCACAACGCCCTGCATGGAAAATTCGTCCTCTTCTATCCAGCGATTGATCGATCTTACCTCGGTGTCTTGTGGAGCTGTGGCGCCACGAAGCACTCCACCGCCAAGGCCATAGCTTAGCCCTGGAAATATAAACCCTAAAAAACAGAGGAGGAGTGATGGGAATCGAGCTTGGGCCGATTATTTAAGCAAAGAGCTGCCAGGTGGTGTGTTTTCTTCATGGCGGAGCAGCAAGAGATCGAGAGCAGCGATGGCGGCGGCGGTGGATCATCCAAGGACAAGGCAGCGGCGGCACCGCTTCCTCCCGCCGATGGATCGCGGCCGCCGCGCCACGCCACATCCAAGTACGATTTCGTCAAGGTACCGGGAAATATTTCGCGCTTGCGCACGATCTAGGTCTCAAGAATCCCTCTCGTGATCGGCATTGCGGCAGCTCGCGCGCTTTGCTGCGAAATCTTGCCTGCTTGTTGACTTGCCTCGGATTTTCTTGCCAGAATCACTTGCATTGGAGGTCTCTGGGCGTTTCTCTTTGAGATTTGGAGTGATTTAGTGTTCTAGAGCGCTGCATGTATTGGCTTGGAGTTTCTTTCAAGCATCTCGCCTTTGGATTTTCTTTTTTTCACGCTTCTCTCTGGCTACCAGGTGCGAGTTTGGCTGGGTGAGAACTCGGATCACTACTACGTTTTCTCGCGATTTCTACTCAGCCGCATGCTTACTGTGACGAAGGTAAGCCATAGATTTCTCTTTTTCTAACTATCGTGGCAAACCGTGTTGAACAGATTCCACATCATGTTGCCATTAAAATTGCCCTCGAGCTGAAAAAACTGCTGGTTGATAATAGCTTGCTGGATGTGTACGCGACTCTTCTCTCTTTTGGATGTGGAATCGCACTTAACGTTTTTCTTTTGACTTGGCAGCTCACAGACTGATCTAGAGGCAAATGTTTTCAAGGTAAGTGACACGCTTGCGTTTTTCCTGTTTCACGATTCTTCTTTTGCTGTTTAATGATACTTATTTTATTGCGGTTTTCTTGTTTAATCTACATGGTGCTGCGAACAATGCAAAAGTTGATGGAGAGACGGGGATATGGGACAGATTACATTAATCGTTACAAGATGATGACAAGGTGATAGTTTTTACTTGCATTGGGTCCTAGTAACTAACGTCTTTGTGCTTCAGGTTTCATCATCAAAGGATTCCTCTTATTATTCTCGTTTGCGGGACTGCATGTGTAGGAAAATCGACAATTGCAACTCAGCTAGCCCAACGGTTGAATCTTCCGAATGTGCTTCAGGCAAGCTATTTGTCCTTAAGAGTTTTAGTTGTTCGTCTTCACTTGGCTTCGCAGACTGACATGGTTTATGAGCTACTTCGGAGCTCAACAGAGTAATTTCAGAATACTTGTCTGCATGAAAATAATTTTCTTGTTCTCTATTTTTGCAAGGGCGCCGCTGACCTCAACGCCGATATGGGAGAGGCATTTTGAAACAAAAGAAGAACTTATCACGGAATTTTGCCGGGAGTGCCGAATTGTTCGTAAAGGTGGAAATGTTTTTCTGCTCATGTTTTCTGTCTTCCTAAAATGCTCCTTCAGGTCTAGACGGGGACTTGACTAAAGCAATGAAGGATGGAAAACCTGTCATTATTGAGGTAAGCAGTGACTGCTGCTCGGTACTTGTTGATCGCAATTCTGCTATCTCAGGGCATTCACTTAGATCCAAGTATATATCTCATGGAGGAGAATGGGCGAGCAAGTCCAGTAAACAAAGCTGAGGACGGAGATTCTGAGAAGTCACCTGCTCAGTGTGGTGAGAAATTGTAGACCTCAAGTTGATTTACACGCGCTTACCTGTCTTATGTGCTGTAGATGGAAAACAGCAACTCAATGAGCATGAAAACGGAAGCGCTGCCAAGCCCAAGGCGATTATTGTGCCAATAGTTCTTAGCATGGCAGATATTGATCATCAGGTACGGATTTTCCTTTTGTGAAGCTGCAAAATCTGAGGCCGGCTTTGACTATCAGATGTTACTGGAGGAATGGATCGCGTCTCGTTCCGAGAGTTCCATCACCGAGGTTGGCTATTCATGTTAATATTGGGAATAGAAAGTTGTGACAAGTGCGCTTTCAGGAGGAAGAAGCAGCGCTTATTGTTAAACTGCGAACCATACAAGATTATCTTACTTCATTCGAGTCCCAGGTAAAGTTTATCAATCGTCATTCTAGGTTTGACCAACCTTGATCCCTCTTTTCAGGGCGTGGGAGTTGTTCCAATCTCAGCGACAACATTTCCTCAAACTCTCGACTGGCTTCACGGCTATCTGTTGCAGGTTTTTGCTGCGCATGTTTCTTAAAACATAACTTATATCGTTGTGTTTGTGTTTTAGCGCATCGAACGGGACTGTCAGGAGGCATAGGCTTCGAAGCGTCCAAAGTAAAGCATTTGCCCAGAATGGGCATTTTTTTGTAGCCACTGTGGAGGATGGCTCGTGCAATTGCCCGAGGATTCTTGCGCCCAACGCAAGATGTAGCGGAGATACTGCTGGGAATTTTGAAACCGGGGCCTTACCTATGTCGAGACTTGGCTGGCTATGCGTCAACTGTGACACCAGAAGTAGCCGGCAGGGTCCTCCAACAGGTAGAGGATCCAGATGTGGCGTGGACATTCTTCCAGTGGGCTGGTAACAAGCCCGGTTTCCAGCACAACGCTTACACCTGTGCCGTTCTTCTCAACGCATTCGTCAAGGCCAAGAGGCACGAGGAAGCACACAGGCTACTCAAGGAAGAGCTCGAGCCGCTGTGCTTTCCCAACGAGATCATGTACACTACTGTCATCAACGGCTTTTGCAAGGCAGGACAAGTCGACCAAGCTTTCGAGCTTCTGGATGAGATGAAAGAACGAGGGGTCAAGATGGACGTGCTCTTGCACAGCACACTGATCCAGGGGCTCTGCAGGAAAGGCAGGATAGATGAAGCTCTGGAGCAGTTTAAGAGCATGGGCGAGGAGTGCTCTCCCAACGTGATAACTTACAACACAGTCGTGAATGGGCTATGCAAGGCAAACCGCATCGACGAGGCACTGGAGCTGTTCGACGACATGGAGAAGAGATACGAGGCTTCTCACGGGTGTGAGCCGGACGTGATCTCCTACAGCACAGTCATCGACGCTCTTTGCAAGGCCCAGAGGGTGGACAAAGCTTACGAGTACTTCAAGCGGATGCGGGCTGTAGGCTGTGCTCCAAACGTCGTCACTTACAGCTCTCTAATCGATGGCCTCTGCAAGGTGGACAGGGTGGACGAGGCTTACTCTCTCCTCATGCAATTGAAAGGCGAAGACATGGTTCCGAGAGCCATGTATTACAATGCGGTCGTCAACGGGTTTAAGAGGCAAGGGAAGCCGTCGGAATGCCTGGAGCTGTTGCTCCACATGAAGGAGAAAGGCTTTGGGATCAACATCATCGACTTCAACGCTATGCTCCACGCGCTGTGGAAGAACGACGAGCAGGAGAAAGCCTGTCAGTTTTTCGAGAGGCTCTTGAAGAGCGGGAAGAAGCCCAACGTGGTCACTTACAACGTAGCGGTTCACGGGCTTTGCAAGGCCGGGAGAGTCGACGAGGCGTACAGGATCCTCCTGGAGATGGTAGAGAGCAAAGTGACTCCGGACGTGATCACTTACAGCAGCATCATCGACGGGTTTTGCAAGGCGGGCAGGATGGACAAGGCCGACGACGTTTTCACCAGGATGATGGTACACGAGTGCATCCCCCACCCGGTGACGTTCATGACGCTACTCCACGGTTTCAGCGAGCACAAGAAGTCGAGGGAGGCTTTCCGGGTCCACGAAGACATGGTGAACGCCGGCTTCATTCCCGGCCTCCAGACTTACAACGTCCTCATGGACTGCGTCTGCGGTGCCGACAGTGTGGAGTCGGCTCTCGAGATCTACCACAAGATGAAGCGGAAGAAGCGGCAGCCGGATTGCAACACTTACGCTCCGCTCATCCAGTGCCTGTGCCGAGCTCGCCGGGTGGACGAAGCCAAGGAGTTCCTAGACGTGATGGAGGCGGACAACGTTGTGCCAAACGGGGCGATTTGCCACGCGCTGGTGGAAGTTCTGTGCAAGCAAGGGGAAGTGGACGAGGCCTGCAGTGTTCTTGACAACGTTGTGGAGGTGGGATGCCAGCCACTGGGTGAAACGTTTAAGATCCTCGTAGAAGAGCTCTACTTGAGGAAAAAGTGGGAGGCGGCCTCGAAGCTCTTGCGCAGCCCGGGATTTGTCGCGGACGCTGCGACGTACAGCCTTTGCGTCGCGGAGATTTGCAAGGCCGGCAAGCCGGACGAGGCAGTGGAGGTGATCGAGCAGATGGTGCTCAAGGGCGTGAGGCCGGACGAGGGAACTTACGTTGCGGTTCTTCGGAGCTTGTGTGGATTGGATAGAGTGGAGTCGGCCATCGCGGAGTTTGAGAAGATGGCGAGCAGAGGCTGCGCTCCTGGGCTCGTGACATACACGCTGCTGATCGGGGAGGCGTGCTCGGCGGACATGGCGGACGAGGCTTTCAGGATCTTCGAGGCGATGGTGGCGGCGGGGTTTACTCCACAGGCCCAGACGATGAGAACTTTGAGCTCGTGTCTCAGGGACGCGGGCTACCAAGATCTTCTTGTGAGGCAGAGAATCATGACTATGGCAATCTCATGATCATTCTATCTTCGAGATCAAAGCTAGAAACCAAGAGATGTTGATGTAACTGCCTATGCAACTTTCCAAGATCTAAAATGTGAGATATCAAACAACTAGATTCGAGTCTATCCAATTATGATCATTCTATCAAGCTAGAAACCAAGAGATCTTCTTCCTAAAAGGTGGATAAAGCTAAGTTTCCAAGATCTAAAATGTGATGAGATTTAAGAGTTACTTTCAAAATATATAGTGGACAACAACACGTAAGTTGCAGATGTTTCTGGATCAAAGCTGGCCAGCTCTGCAGCTGCTTTTGCTCCAATTGAAGGATCATTGTGGATCTTGCAAGATCCAAGGAGTGATGCCCAAGCTTCACTGTAGCCCATGCTTTGAATCAAGTCTTGAGCTCTCTTCGTCCATCCAGATTTTCCAAGGATGTCAATCAAACACAAGTAGTGCTCCCTCACGGCCCTCAAGCCAAGATCCTGCTCCAAGTATCTAAAGATCCGCAGTGCATCCTCGGTGTGGCTGCACAGATCCAAAACGCTGGTCATGCAAACTTCGTCAGGCAAGATTCCTTCCAAGATCATGTCACGAAACAATTGAAATCCTTCCTTGGACATGGCGTTTTGGGCATATCCGGAGATCAGCAGTGACCATGAAACAACACACTTTTCAGGCAATGCATCAAACAGGCTTTTGATTTGATCCAGGCCAGTGTCCTGCAAAAGTGCCGCGAGCATCTCATTGAACGTCACCCTGCTGTGCTCCGGCATCTTTTGGAATGTACTTCGTGCCTCGCTTAAGCCTCCATGCAAGACATAACACGACGCGAGTGTGTTCCAAGTATAAATGTCGCGGCTAGGCATCTTGTCAAAGAGGTTTTTGGTTTCCAGCAGGTGCCCACAGCGGGCATATGCAGAGTACATGGCGGTCCACGACAGGATATTCCTTGCCGGAGCCTTCTCAAACAAAACTTCTGCCTGGAGCACATAACCAGTGGTTCCGTAGAGTTTCATTAGCACATTCCATGAAACGAGATCCTTGCACGCTTGATCGAATATAGTTTTCGCCAAGTCTGTACAGCCATTTTGAGAATATACCCGGATCATGATTGTCCAAGTGGGAATCGACCTCACGGGCATCTTCTCATAAAACTCCAGTGCCTCGCATAGAAGCCCGTTTGCCACTTTCGCTTGCAAAACCGCATTGGCAGCTACAACATCTTTCCTGGGCATAGAATCATACGTTTCTAAAGATTCCCGGAAATGCCCGTGTCTGCCGTACACCGAGATCATTGTCGTACATGGGACCTCGCAATGCATTGGCATTTTCTTGAAAACTCGCTCCACACATTCGAACAAATCGGCATTAGCATAGGACGTAAGCAATGTGTTCCAGCACGTAAAGTTCTTCTCTGGCATTTCAGCAAAGATTCCCTTCGCTGCATGGAGATCCCCCTCGTGAGCCTGCAAAATCGCAGCCATGCACACGAGATTCCTCCGCGGCATCCTGTCCGTCAAAACCCCCGCTTCGCCAAGATGCCCAGTGCGGGCATATCCCACAGCGAGAGCCGTCCACGTGTCCTCCGATCTCGCGGGCAATCCATCAAAGAGTGCTTTCGCCTCAGGAATATACCCGTTTTGGGTATAACACTGGACGAGGCTCGAGCACGAGACCACTCCCACCACAGGCATCTTCTCCAGCACAGCCACGGAATCTCTCAGACTCCCCTGCGTGGCATATCCCCAGAGCATCGCGCTCCAAGAATCCTCGTTCCTCTCAATCGCTTGATCGAAGAGGGCTTTTGCGTGATCAAGCTCGCCACTCCTGGCACACGCCTGGAAGATCGCCATCCAAGTCGCAAAGCTCATTCTTGCGGGCGATCGATGGAAATAGAGCCTCGCATCGTCGAGATTCCCTGACAGAGCAAGAGCCCTAGTGATGGAGTCCCAAGAGATTTCGTTCGTAGAAGGCATCTTGTGGAATAGCTCCATCGCCCACACCAGATGCCCATTTCGGGCACTTGCAGCAATCGCCGCCGTCCAGGACACGGCATTCCGCCCTGGCATCGCTTGGAACATTCTGGCGGAAAACTCCAGCCGCCCGGAATCTGCCAGTGGCGCGAGCATCGCGTTCCAGCACACGACATTCCAGGCGGGCATCTTCTCGTGGATCGCGGATGCTTCTTCCAGATGCCCTCTCTGGGCGTGCGCCGCCACCATGATCGACCACGAGAAGAGTGTCCGCTCGCGCATGCCATCGAAGAGCTCGCGCGATCCATCGAGGCTTCCACAGTGGGCGTACGCGCGGATCAAAAGATTGTCAAGCCGAGAGCCAGAGGATGATAGACCGATCGATTTTTGGATCTCTTTCACTTCCGCGAGAGATGGAGTGGAAGACTTCAGCACGGATTCCAGGAGGAGGTGAGCGTTCTTGAGAGCTAAGTTGGTCATCCACAGGGAAAACCATTAGAGCCAAATGACGAAAAGAATTTCTTAGCTTCAGAACTGGAACTGGATGATCGTCCTGTGGCTAAAATCTCGTTGCTTGGGATCTAGATACCTCTAAACTTCCAAGGTTCTTAGTTTTTGTTCTAGGATGGCCCCTTCCTGCTCAGAGTGGAATTTAATGTTTTTACCGTGCTATTTAGTATTGTTCTGACCTTCTTCTCCCATGACCATTTCTCCTCGAGCAAGCTAATCTCCTCCTCGTCACCATCATCGTAAAGTATCTATGTACAAGCATGCACAAGAAAAATTTAAGAGGCATGTACATGCACAGTAGGAGCATGTACAAGCAATGTTTAATAGGCATGACAAAAACGACACTCACCTGATGTTTGCCAATCGAGGCGTTGTAGCGTATGATCCGTCCGCTGTAGTATCTACAAGATTTATAAAGCTTTCAGTAGCAGAAAAAGAATAGGCAGCATCACGTACTTTTGGTCGAGAGGCCACCATACTCGTACTCTGTGTCCGACAGAGTTTCTCGAATGCGCGAAAGGAGACACAGCTGTAAAAGCAAACAGTGTTCAAGCAAACGAAAGAAAGAGAAATGAAAAGAGAGAAAGAACCTTCCATACATGGTGCATCGGAGATTATCTGCTTGAACTCCTTTGGTTTAGAAAAGTTCTGCGTTTCTGGAGCATCCATCTTTTCCTGTTCTGGAAAAAACTACGCAACGGAAAAGCCTGTCAAAAACCTTAAGTTTCGTATTTACCTGAACCATTTCTCCTTGCACATTCTGATTCTGTAGCTTAGTTGGCCTAGAGCCGCCAAGTATCCCTTTGCAATTTTTGGATCCGCAGTGACACTGCTGCTCCGTCCCGAATTGAATGTACCTGCACGAAAGATTAGCAGTGTCACGAAGGTAGTTCCACTTACTTGTAATCGTATGTTATTTCCTGACCCTTCAATATACGAGATACTGCGAACACGCCAATTCTAAGCTCTCCATCGCATTGCCTGGAAATAGTAATTTGCTCGTAAGTAGATTGTAGAAGAATTTGGCAGACCATTTTCGCAATTGTGCGTTGGGATCGCAACTGTGATTGATAAATCGAGACATATTGCCCTTGAAGGTCGCGTCGATCACCTTGTCGTGACCGACTTCACAGAGGTAGAAGTTATTCTCGCCACGTTCTTTCAGATCCCATAATCTTTCTTCACACGTCTTGTCGTCAATTACTGCAGAAAGGAAAATGAGAACATTTAAACTGAAAATCTAAATTACCTTCGCCAATGTACTCGATCAAAAAATCGCCTCGCTCAATATTTTCATCCGCAAAAAGACCCCATCCACAATTCTCCGTCTGCCAGAACCACATTCTTAAGGACACAAATGAGATTACAACGGTACCTCTTTAAGTCTTAGCCTCCGGCCATCACGCTTTTGAAAAGGAAGATTCTCGCATTTGCCTTCACAAGCGCAGCTGGATGAACAACTAGTGTACAGTAATCTAAAACCACCATCAAAGAAAATTAACAAACAAAAGAGTGAACGAAGACAAATACCTGCAAATGCAGTCTGACGAGCAGATTTTTGATCCTTTGCAAGAGCACTGCATTCCATCGTCTTTGGAGACTTTCGGCGTTTTCTTCGTGAGATAAACATCTAAAATGTGAGAGAGAATAAAATATATAAGACAAGAGAAATAGAAGTCTTACTGCGTCTTATGTGAATATATGGAGGACTTTCTTGGTCCAGGCGCTTGATCCAAGAAGAAGGTAGACGAAAATCGCAAGGCCGGAGTGGAAGACGCTCGAATGCTACCTTTGGATCACTCGTTTGTTCTACATTCCAGAACTTGAAAGAAACAGAAACCAATCAGCATTTTCCTATACTCACAAGCGATGCACTGACCTCGAAACCGACGAGAGCTGCTCCATTGATCGTCTCTCCGCCGGCGAGTGACTGGAGGACGCACTGCGATGCCTCTGATCGAAGAAAATCTCCTTCTATAGACCTTCGTTCTTGGATCCGCGGCCATGTCCTTCTCTGGATCTTCCGCTGCTGCCGATAGAGGAGAATGCTGGTGATCGCAGCGCTGGCCAAGCTCCAGCCCTCTCTGCTGGTTCGCCATCGCTGCTAAAAACCCTAGCTTTTGCTCTTCGCTATGGCAAGAGAATATTTCAAATATGAGCGGGACAATGTATTTTAGGTTTAGGTTTTAGGGCTCCAAGAAAGGCTGCGCGACCCGCGATGGACACCAGCTCCAGCGATTCTGATCAATCCGATAGCAGCTATGGGAGCGAGGATTGCGAGAGCACCAGGTATGAGAGCGAGGATTTCGAGACCGGCAGCGCCAGCGCGAGCAGCAGCGATCAAGAAGAGAAAAAATACGAGTGCCGTGAGTGTGGAAAGAAGCTGGGAAAGCCTTCCTTGCTCCGGCAGCACCTCCTCTGTCACTCGAACGAGGTAGAATTCTATCGCTTTCTCCTCCGACTGATCGAGATCCTTTCACGCAGAGGAAATTTTGCTGCCCTGTCGATTCTTGCGGCGCCAAATACAAGTGGGAGAATCACCTCAAGCGTCACATAAATGACAAACACGATGGAAAGGTCCATGCCTGCTCGCGGCCGGGATGCATTTTCACCACCAGGATTTTACACGACTTAAAGCGACACACGAAGCTTCACGAAAAGAAAGGAACGCTCCAGCGCCACCGAGACAAAGGCTTGGAGGAAGCAAAGGAGCACGCTTGCAAGGAGGAGAAATGTGGCAAAGCTTTCCGGTATCCATCACAGCTTCGGTATCATGAGGAGACATGCCATGGTGAGGCTTGTTTATATACTTCTTAGGTGAGCTTCGACGTCAACACCGGATCTCGATGGAACTCCGAAGTGGAAAAGCTACTCCAGAGTAGTATTGAGGCGGGTGACTGCCTCAAGAAGTCCCGGATAGGAGGTGAGAGCCAATCCAGGGTTTTGGGATGGGTGACCTCTCCGATTTTTCTAGACTTGATATGCTCTCAGTATGAGGTACTTGTATATTATCGGTTCGGTCTAACCATGTGTTCTTTTCTGCAGCAGGAGAAATCTACGTTGATATAGTCTGTTCCGAGCCGGGTTGCAACGAGCGTTTTGATCACCCTTCGGACTTGTCCGAGCACACAAGGAACGCTCACAAGTACGTGTTCTGCGAAGTATGTGGCAAGCAGTGCATGCGGTCGAAAATCAAGAGGCACTATGCGACTCATGACAAAGCGGGACTCTTGAATCGGGAACGTATAAAATGTCCCTATCCGGACTGCCCGCTCACCTATCTACAGGTCTTTTGTTTTATGACCACATTGTTTGCCTGCTCATCTTTCGTCACGTGTCTCGCAGGAAAATAACCTTCGAAAGCATATCAAGGTTGCCCACCTGAAATTCAGACCGTATCCATGTTCCAACCCAGAGTGCGGAAAGTCCTTTGCTTACAGGCACGTCAGAGATAACCACGAGAGATCAGTTCACCTTCCCGTACGTGAAACTCCTCCCATTCCTCTCACAATCCCTCATTTCCGCATCGGTTTGACTGTCTCCAGGGCGATTTCGTAGCGGAGGATCTCCGGAAGAAGCCGAAGGCGAGCAGTAAAAAGCGAAAGATTGTAGAGCGCGTGGAGGATATTTTTACGAGGCCCGAGAAGAAGAAACGGCGCAAGGGTAACTATTTGGAATTCACCGCCTGATTCATTGTTTGTTTGTGTCGTGACTCTTTATTTTTCTTTTTTTCTTTTTTCCAGGCCATCAGCAGTAGCACCAGCAACAATAACCAATGCAGACGAATTCACCAGGAAAATTCACGCACAGGGTTCTTGGCGGTCGCGCCTGGGAAGAAAAATTTCTGGCGGAGAGCGAAGGTAGGTGGACCTGGGCTGGATTTTATCCCGTGGAGAGAAGGCTGCCACGCGGGCGGGGGATTTATGAGGCGATAACTTCCAGGGAAGGCTTCACGTGGGCGTTTGGCGTACTGAGGGCGGTCGTATAATGCCTACGGCAGCAGGTGTGCGTCACATCGGCTACTTTGAAAACAAGTGGGGCGGAGCGAAAGATTTGCGAATCTTTCACTTCAGGTACAAAGCCTTGGATGGCGGTGATCGATACAGGTGTCTAAGGACAGGGAAAGCAAGAAAAATTCTTTTTTTTCCACTCTTTTTTCCTGGCCTTGGGAGGAACAGCTTACCTAGTTAGTGTGGAATCACGGAGCGAAAGGGACAGGGGAACGAAGACGTGGTGCTCGGGCCAATTTTTCTTTCGGCGAGCCGACGGGAAAACATCGTCCAGACGGGCGAATATGCCGTGTCAAACTTGTCGCGTTTAGGGTGGGTTTGACTTTGGGGAGGCGCTGCTGCGAGCGCGGTGGTATTCAGGGGCGGCGGCGGCCCGGCTTCCTGGCTTCTACCTTTCGATCGGTAATGAATTTCGTTTTGAGGCTATGCTCTCAATCGTAGATTTTGCTTTGCAGCTTGTCACGTGAAAATTTTTGATGATTCATCGAGCCCGGTACTGGTTACTGTCCTTCTCTTTAATTTCCTGATTGCCTTGAGGCGTTTGTGTGTGGGTGTGAGTGAGCTCTTTAGCTGGTAACTCCAGCGGCAAGGGAGCGCGAGAGCGCGATCATTGCCCAGTCCCTGCTATGTATATTATTATTGCTGAGGTACTATGAGCGGTAGAGCCTTGCGTACTTTGTGCCTTCCGTGGCTTATCTTCGAGCACGGAATTTGCTTTGAGTGTGATTCCGCTTGTCCGGGTTTGAGAGTTAGTGTAGCCTCTTCTCTTCCGGTGGATCCCAGTCTAACTCTGAGAGGAGTTTCTTCCTTGTGCCTTGTGTTAGTGAGTGTAAGTTAAATCACGGAGTTCGAGGTGGTGATTGTGTTTATTCGCTGGGTCTGGGTTAACCAACGTTAACAAACCAGTGTAGCTATGAGTGCTTTGTGTCGTCGCCTGAAAATACGAGCTGTTTCGTAGAGAGGAGAAGTGTGCGATTCAGTCTGGCCCTCTTTCAAGTTGGTCCAGCTCAAGCTTTTACTCGGCTCAATTTGGTGTACCCGGGCTTCTGCTTATCTCTTGTTAAGCATATGAAACACAACGGACTGGGAGAGGGCTGCAAAGAGCAGAGCCGAGAAAGCAGCAGCTCACAAGCTCTACTGGACGGTTGGTTTCTGTTCCTTTCTTTCTAGCTTTCTTTCTCTGTGTGTGCTTCTCAATCTCTTTCCCGTTTGTTGCAGGGGCGATCCAGATCAAACCTTCTGGATAGCGATCGAATCATGCAGCAAGCTGGAAGTGACAAGCATACTATATCCATGGAAGCTCCGTGTGCGACAACTTCGGAAAATATTTCCGACTACGACACACTGTCGCCTGCTCCATTGTCTCCTTACGACGGGTCAACTCCTGATCCTGGATTTGTGACACCTCGAACACCCCAAACAACGTCTCCGGTTTCTCCATACGTCAATGTGGCTTTCGAAGACCTCATACAAGCGGGACAAATGCTGGATGCAGTCCCTGTTAACAAGAACGACCCTGATGAAGTATGCTTTCCCAGGCGCTCATCATTTTTTTTTTCTTCTTCGTCTTCAGTTTCGTTGTTGCTTAAAGCTTTTCTGATGTGCAGCAGCCGCCCAAGAAGTTTTGCTCGCTACTGGAAAATACCTCTGTTCTCGCTCATCTGGCGACTTTTGGAGTTTTAGGCGTGAGTAAAGTGGATGCTTCATGCGCTTCTAATCACATGTCCTTTGTCCCCTTTGCAGGTTCTAATCCGGTACAGCCTCGGGCGGCTGTTTGACAATGTTGGACATGTCACAAACGCTCAAGAAGCTCTTTTTCATGATCTTGCGGCAAATATGGTAAGAGAACCGAAGGCCCGGAGCTCATACAAGAGCTAAATCTCTTTCTTTTTTGCTTTTGTAAGTTCGGTTCATTCTTCATGGGATGGGTGGGCTGTGTGCTCAAAAAGGATATCTCACACTTTTCGGAGCATTTAGCTCTTGGGCTCTCGACCGGACTCATGGGTAGCATCACAACCTTCTCGTCGTGGATCGTCAAGCTGGTCGTTGTTATGACCAAAGGTTTATGGTTAAGAGGTGTCATCGGCCTTCTTGTCGGTAAGGCGCTCTTGCTTACTCTATAAACATCTCGTAACTCCTCGGTTTGATCTTAAATACAGGCATGGAACTGTCGATGATGTCTTTACTGGTGGGAATGCAGTCAGCAGAATGGTTTCGCTCTCTCCTGATCTGGCTAAAGCTCACAGAAGTCGCGGCTGATAATGTCCAGAGAAAGCTCAAGGGCCTCTTGATTTTTCTGACAACGGCTCTGGTCTTGTGGACACTGTTCCTGTCTCTGGGAGTCGAGGACATTAACAATTTGGAGAGACGGACTTTGTGGCTTGCCTGCGTTTTGAGCCCGCCAGGCGTTTGGCTGAGATGGCTACTCGCTAGACACAACGGCAAAGGACTCGGACATTCGAAGACACTGAGATGGATCCCGTGGGGTACGCTGGCAGCAAATCTCCTGGCGTGCCTCACAGGTGCCACTCTCTCGGCTGTCCAGCTCGCAGTACGTACCTCTCGCTTTAAAACTTTGGTCAGAGCTGATTCTTTCTTTCTTCAGGCAAGGAACAACCACGAGTCGACGCTGTGGATCGGAGCACTCCATCTGGGAACTTTGGGATGCCTCAGCACAGTGTCAACGTTTGTTGTCGAAGTTCACACACTTGCCAAGGGAGACAAGCCGTGGAGAGCTTACGCCTACGCTATGGCATCGATCGGCCTGGGAGTTCTAGTTTGCATCGTCTTCTTCGCCACAGTCGTTTGGGTCAGAGGCTACGACATCGTTCTATAGCAGGGAAGTTCCAAGAAACTTTCTTTCTGGAAGAACTTTACTCGTCAAAAAGCTTCTCTTTTTCTTCTTACACGTGCTTACAGTACTATCGTTGTAGTTAGAGTACAGATTCGCAAGCAAGAGACAAGCCGAGGCGGCGAAGCCATCGCCACCGCGAAGCTCGAGCACCGCATTCACAGCTTGCGAGGTATGCTGGAGATCACTGTGGCTCTTACACGAGCTCAAGAAGCACACCCATTCCAGGGCCTCGGGAACGAACGGCATGTTGGCGATGAGATCCCTGGCCTCGTCCAGGTGCCCGGCTCGCGAGAAGAGATCGATCATGCAGCAGTAGTGATGCTTGCTCACCGTGATCTCAAAGTCGGAGATCATGGAAGAGAACCAGTTTATCCCGAGCTCCACTTTGCCAGCGTGGCTGCAAGCGAGCAAGGCGAGCACGAAGCAGACTTGGTCGGGAGTTTTGCTCAGCTTTCCTGCGTGGAAAGCTTCCATGGCCGTGAGGGGATGCCCGTTTTGGGTATAAGCTGCGATCATAGCCGTCCAGGAGACCAGGTCTCTCTCCGGCATGGAATCGTAGAGGCTCTTTGCCTTGCAAAGGTGGCCGCTTTGCGAATATGCCGTGAGCATCGCGTTCCAGGATTCCGGTATCTGCTCGGGCATGCTGGAGAAGATTCGTGTGGCTAGTGATAGAAAGCCGTGCTGGTAAAATGCTGCCATTATAGTCGTCCACGAGACAAGATCCCTTTGTGGCATCACATCAAACATGTGCTTTGCGTGCTCTAGATGCCCGTTTCGGGAATATGCCGCGAGAGTGGCGTTCCAGGATGCTAGATTCCGCTGGGGCAGTGCGTGGAACAGGGCTGTGGCTGTGGTGAGGCGGCCGGATTCTCCATATGATGCTATCATTGTGTTTGACGACACTAGATTCCTTGTTGGCATTTTGTAGTATATCCTTTCTGCGTCAGAATGATTCCCATTATGAGCATATGCTGTAAGCATTGACGTCCAAGAGATGATGCTACGTCGCGGCATCTTCTGGAATATTTCCTCTGCTCGCTTAAGATGCCCGTGCTGCGAATAAACATATAACATGGAATTCCATGAGATCAAGTCGTGCTCAGGCATGTTTTCAAATAGATTAATAGCTAATTGCAGATTTTTGCTTTGGCCAAATGCAGCCAGCATGGAATTCAAGCTGACGAGATTCATTTGTGGCATCTCATCAAAACTGCGTCTGGCATCGTCAAATAATCCGTTTTGTACATATGCAGCTAGCATGGCATTCCAGACCACAATATCGTGCTCAGGCATCTCATTGAAAATTCTTTTCGCATCCACAAGATGCCCAGTTTGGGCATATGCCACAAGCATTGCGGTCCATGCAACAAGATTCCTCTGCGGTATTTGCGAAAACAGGTGCTCACTTTGCAGTAGATGTCCATCCTGAGCATGTGCGTCAATCATAGCCGTCCACGACACTAGATCTCTCTCAAGCATGGAATCAAACAGGAATCTAGCCTCTTGAAGATCCCCAACTTGGGAATATAAACTTAGCATCACATTGCAAGCTACAACATCCAGCATGGGCATCTTTGTGAAGCATTCTTTTGCTTCATCACTGAGATCGCGTCTCACGTACGCAGTGATCATCAGGACCCAACTGAAGGTGTTCTTAGTGATTATTCCATCGAATATTTCCTTTGCCATCTCGAAGCTCCCACACTTGCTGTAGAGCTCCAGCATCTTGTTGCACAGAAACACATCGTCAAAACTCCACACTTCTTGGAGCTGGCGGTGAATTTCTTGGGCTGCTGCCAGTGACTTGCAAGATTGGATCAAACGGAGGCAATCAGATCGAAGATTTTTCATTAGATGGAAGCTACACAAAGTTACAAAGAAGTATGCAACTTGTAAGCTCCAAGAACAGCATTCTGAGCCACCTGGTTTGGCTCGAATGGCATTCTCTCAATCAATTCTTCCACATCCTCAACTCTCCCGATCTTACACAAGAGATCGACAATGCAAACGTAGTGATCCAGTGCTGGCTCAATCCAGAAATCCGAGATTCCAGTTCGCATATAATCGATTCCATCAGCGAACAAGCCTCCATGGCTGCAAGCCAGCAATATCCCAAGGAAAGTCACCCCGTTTGGCTCGATTCCCTCCAAAACCATTCCTTGGAAAGCATCTATCGCCCCTTGAGCCTCTCCATTCTGCGAATATGCCGTGATCATCGTGTTCCAAGTCACGTTGTTCTTCCGTACCAAGGTTTGATCAAAAAAGTTCTTTGCCAGATCCACCTTGCCACACCGGCCATAGAAATTCACGATTGCATTCGTAGTCACGTCGCTAGCTCTAAAATCACATTCCTCGAGGAGTAACTTACCCATGGTAAATTCCGAGACATCCGCGCAGGCATCAAGGATGGTAACAAAGATAAACTTGTCGTAACAATGCCCGCTGCCCTCGAGGTCCATTACCCGGAAGAAATCAATGGCTTTCCTGCATTGCCCGTTTTGGGCATATGCCCCGAGAATGGCCGCCCACGTAACAGGATCTTTGAATACCAAGGAATCAAATGCTTTCTTTGCACTTTCAAGCTCTCCACACTTCGCGTATGCGGCGATCATGCTCGTCCACGAGTAAAGTTCGTGGCAAGGCATCAAGTCAAGAACAAATCTTGCATTTTGCAAATGCCCGTTTTGGGCATATGCCGTTAGTAACGTACTCCACGAAACACAACTTCGTTCTGGCAAGCGGTCGAATTCGAACCTGGGACCAGACAAACTACCCGTCCGTACTTGAGCCAGCAAGCCCGCATTTGAAGAATGTACGTTTTGGGCCGGCATTTTGTTCAAGACATCATACGCTTTCCGCAAATGCCCAACTTTGGCATAAGCAGTAACAAGGCTGGTCCAGGACGCAATGTCCTTTGCTGGATTCTTGTCGAAATAATGTTTTGCTCGATCATATAAAAGCTCGCGGGAAAACACACTTATAATCCCGTTCCAAGAAACGATATCTTTCTCTGGCATCCCATCAAACAGCGCTTCCGCGTTTTGCAAATGCCCAATGTCGGCATAAGCAAGAAAAAGCGCGGTCCACGAAACAGCATTTCTCTGAGGCATTATTTCAAAAGCTCGTGTCGCTCGATCGATTAGCCGCGCTCGCAAAAGCCCAGTAATCAGTATGTTCCAGGAGAAAACGTTTCTGTGCGATCTCTTGGAAAACTCGAGCTCTGCTTCAAGAATTCGCCCATGAAGAAATAAGTGCTGGATAAGCAGATTAGAGTGATAAGTAGTCATTCCATTGCTAAATCTTACTAACTTCCCGGATGGCTATAGCTCCACCAAAGGATACTTTCTCGTGGAATTTGATGCTCTCAAGGTCATCTAGCATCGAAAATGCCGAGAACATCTTTTATTCCATGCCAAATCGTGACATTGTGTCATGGAATACCATGCTATCGCTACTTGCCCGGCACAGCCACCATGACAAAGCCATGTCCACATTCCAGGCTATGCCGTACCACAACCAAATCTCATGGACCACGATGCTTCTAGTATATGCCGAGGGTGGGAATCTTCTCCAGACGCAGCGCCTCTTTGTGCAGATGCCACATCGGGATCTTATTTCCTGGAATGCCCTGCTCGGAGCATATACCCAAACCGGGCATATTCTCGAGGCTATTAGACTCTTTGAAAGAATGCCTCTGTGGAATCTCGTGTCGTACACAAGCATCTTGACATTGTATGGGCAGAGCGCGAATCTTTTCCAAGCCAGAGACGTGTTTGAGAATATGCCCGAGCATAACATCGTGACGTGGAACTCTATGCTAGCGGCATATGCCCGTATCGGGCATCTAGACGATGCGTGGGCCACGTTCGAGAATATGCCCCAAACGGATCTCTTTACGTGGACCACCTTGTTAGTAGCCTGCTGCGAAAGTGGGAACATAGAGTATGCCAAGAAAGTCTATGAGAAGATGCCAGAGGGATGCGTTGTGGCCTGGAATGCGATGGTGTCGGCCCTTGCCGAGAACGGGCATCTGGAAGACGCCGCGCGCGTGTTTGAGAATATGCCCGAGCACAGCATCGTTTCTTGGACCGCTATGGTTACGGCTTATTCTCGCAATGGCTTGCTAGAGCACGCGACAAGGGTTTTCGATCTAATGCCGCATCACAACACTGTGGCACTCAATGCCATGCTGGATGCCTACTCGTCGAGCGGCCACTGCGATCACGCCAAGCGCTTCTTCGATCGCATGCTACAGCGGAATCAGGTCTCCTGGAACACGATTCTGTGCGCGTTCTTGCGGAGCGGGCAGATCGACGAGGCCAGATCGCTGTTCTTCGGCATGCCGCGGGACGAAATATCGTGGACGGCGCTCCTCGCCGCCACTGCGCAGCTAGGTCGTCTCGCCGCGGCCAAGAAGCTCTTTGATTCCATGCCGGAGCCGGGGATTGTGTCACAGGGGGCAATGCTGGCCGGATTCGCGAGCAGCGGCCATTCCACCGCGGTGATCGATCGATTTCATGAGCTCCAGATGGTGCTGGAGCCGCGCCCGCTCTCCTTCCTCGCCGTGCTCATCGCTTGCAATCACACAGGCAAGACGTTCGAAGGGAGGAGCTACTTCGTGTCGATGGCGATGGATCACGGCCTTCGGCCGAGCAAGCAGCACTACTGCTGCGTGGTGGATCTCCTGGGCCGGGCAGGGCATCTGGATTTCGCCGAGGAGCTCATCGCGAGCATGCCATTCGAGCCAAATATTCTCGAGTGGACGTGCTTGCTGGGGGCGTGTCGAAGCTACAAGGATTCTTGCCGTGAATCGCGTGTGATGCAGCGAGTGATGGAGCTCGATCCACGGACGGGAGGCGGAGAGGCAGCGTCGGTGCTTCTCTCGAGCATCCATTTCATGGCTGGGAGGCTTAAATCTTAGGGTTTATGGGCAAGAACAGGTTCTACGCTGTGCGCCAAGGCCGCCAGCCGGGAATCTACACATCGTGGATGGAATGCCGGAAACAGGTGGGGATTTTGGAGAGAAATCGTTTCGCGATGCTCATGAGCGATGCTTTCCAGGTCGATGGATTCGCCATGGCCGAGTACAAGAGCTTCTCTTTGAAAAGCGAGGCCAAGCTTTATCTTTCATCTCTCCAGCCCCAGCAAAACTCTAAG